GCCCGCGCACACACACACACACACACACACACACACACACACACACACACACACAAACTATTTATCTACTTGTTTTTTTTTTTTCTATCCTAGCCCAGCTCCACGAGAGAGGTAATCATGCGATTAACAGGTAGGTTTTGATTTTTCACCACTTTCAGCTGAGTCGCATCCTAAATTTTGCTTGTCCTAAGTGATCTGTTCCATTTGTCTTCACAGGCCCCATGCGAGCTGTGGCTGTGCTGCTCTTGGTTGGACTCATATGGCTGCTGGCAAGCGCAATGTTTGGAGAAGAAAGTGCTGCTTTTGTGCATCATTTCCTCAATAGTAAGGGACATCGCAATACCCATTATTACATTTTGCAGTGAGCAGCTCAGAAACGGTAAATGAATAACAGTTTATCAGGTCACTATTAGGGATTTAACTATGACAGATCTTGACATGGCCACAATATCATCATCGTCATGTAACGTTATTAAAAGCAGCCCATCTCCGCCAAATACATTACTTTTTGTCCGCTTCAGCTAAACACAGCATTGTGAACTACAGAGACCATGAATGATACTTTGTGCCTCCTAGCCAATAGGAACACACATTAAAAAAATGACTGGTCGAGTCTCTTTTTTTGTCACTGCTGTTATCCATCCATCCATCCATCCATTCATTGATCCAATTTCTAATCTGCCTATCCTCACAAGGGTTGCTGTCCTCAGACAGTAGGCAGGGTGCACCCTAAACTGGTTGCGAGCCAATGGCAGGGCACACATAGACGAACAATCATTCGCGCTCACACTCACACATAAGGACAATTTTAGAGTGTTCTATTAACCTGCCATGCATGTTTTTAGAATGTGGGAGGAATCCGGAGTACTCGGCACGGGGAGAACATGCAAACTCCACACAAAAAGGCCGCAATCGAAATCGAACCCCGCACTTCTGCACTGTGATGCCGACGTGCTAAGCAGTCGACCACTGTGCCGCCCACTGCTCTTATGTAGTAAAACACAATATTCAGCTTTTTTTCTGCAAAATCTTGAGCTTTTTTTTCCCCCAACAATATTGAGTTTTTATACAGTATCATTTTTAATATTGCCACCCTCCCCAAATTATCGTGAGGCTTATATCATGATAATGTCTTATCGTGACATTTGGATATCGTTTTATCTGTAGCCACTATTGCCATTTTGGGTTGAAATATTATCTTGAAAACTAAAGTACCGGTATGTTACATCCAATATGAGATTAATAAATCAAAATTTTGTCAGAACTACACTCCATCATTACATTAATATCATGTAAGGAGGCAACATTAGAAACCCTTCTTAGGATGATGAAATGCACCTCTACTAACTCTTACCATCATAATAAGCACATTTGTAGATTCATCTCTGAGAACATCATCATTTTTGTTAAGGCACAATTTTTCTTATGGCCGTGATGATGCGGTGAAGTTTATGCCTGATAACATAAAGATTCAAGGTTTACACATTCGTGAGCCACACAAAGTGGTGTTGGCATCTAAAAGGTATGCCATCATTCCTTTCAAACACAACATTTGGCGCATGCGCGCACACGTACACACACACATTCTTAAAATATACCTAATAGTAGTGATGGACAAAGTGAAGCCTCATGAATCAATGAGACTTGTCTCTCATGGTTCTGCCAATGGTTCATCACTAGATTTACATTCATATTAGTTCTTTAAGGACCCCTGCTGCACGGTGAGCAGTATTGCAGTTTGTATTTTTAAATGAAAGCTTGTAATGTTGCTTCATTCAAATAGCCTGTATAGCAGTGGTGTCAAACTCATTTTTGTCGCAGGCCAGATTTTAGTTACAATTTATCTATATACTTTTTGTCTTCTACTTTCTCCCTTTCATAATTTTGCTGCTGTAAATTGTGAATTTCTCCATTGTGAGACAAATAAAGGTTTTCTTATTCACCTATTGTTTAAGTTACCTCACTGAGGGATTTCGTGACGAGAAAATGCTTACAGTCACTCTTTGTTATTACAAAGGAGAATTTTAAATGTTGGTAGAGATTTGAGTAAGCATCATGAAAGTTGACATCTTTGATTTGCTTTTGCGGGCCACATAGTTTGACTATTAAGATTAAGATATCCTTTATTTGTCCCACAATGGGGAAATTTACAGTCCACAGCAGCAAGATAATGGGGAGAAAGAAGAAAGAAGAAAAAGAAAACAAACACCGTTCAATTAAGTGCAATATAAATACAGATATGGATAAGGTCACAGTGCTATTTACAATAGTCTTCCACATCATTTATTTATTTTTTATTCAGCAGCCTGACAGCAGTCGGTAGGAAGGAGCGGCGGTATCTCTCCTTCTTGCAGCGCGGGTGTAACAGTCTCTGGCTGAAGGAGCTACCTAGTGCTGTCAGGGCGGGCTGGAGGGGATGGGAGGGACTGTCCATCATAGCTTTTAGCTTAGTTAGCATCCTCCTGTTGCCCACCTCCTCCAGAGTGTCTAGGGAGCAGCCCAGGACAGAACTGGTACTAGTCGCTCTAATCTCTTCCTATCCGGGGCCGAGATGCTGCCTGACCAGCAGACAATGCCTTAATGGATGGCCGAGGCCACCACCGAGTTATAGAAAGTCTTAAGGAGTGACCCCTGAACCCCAAAAGACCTCAGTTTCCT